AAAGTTTTTATTTAATGAAGTCCAGCTTATCAGTTTTTCCCTTCATGGATTGTGCTTTTGGTGTTTTATCTAAAAAGTTATCATCAAACTCAAGGTCACTTAGATTTTTTTTCCAGTATTGTCTACTAGCAGTCCAATAGTTTGTGTTTTACACTTAGGTCTTTGATCTGTTCTGATCTAATTTTTGTGAAAGATGTAAGTTCTGTGTCTAGATTTTTTTTTTTTTGGCATATGGATTTCCAGTTGCTCCAATACAATTTGTTGAAAAGATTATCTTTCCCCATTGATTTAATCTTTGCTCCTTTGTCATAGATCAGTTGACAAAATTTTCGTGGGTCTATTTCTGGGTTCTCTATGCTATACCATTGAGTTAGTTGTCTATTTTTTCACCAACACCAAACTGTCTTAATTATTGCAGCTTTATAGTAAGTATTGAAGTCTGGTAGTATCAGCACTCTAACTTTGTTCTCCTGCAACACCCTGCTGGCTTAGGGCAGATTTTTTTGATCAGTAAGTTATTCTACTAGAATGAGTTATTTCATTAGGTAAATAATTTTAACAGTAATAATAATAGTAATATTTAATATTTATTAAACACATACTACATGTCAGGTGCTACGCTAAGTTCTTATCATGGTTTATCTCATTGAACCCTCTAACAACTTTAAATGATATGCCACATTATTTTGTTTCTCTGTCAATCTGTGTGTCTACTTTTTCTATTATTCATGCTCACACTTAATATCGTGGCCAAGGGCATAGAAATACTAAGTGAAGGTACTTGGATTGGGACGCTGGCTCTCTACCTTAGCCAGCACTATACCGTCTCCTGTATTTACAGATATATATATATATCAGAATCCAGATGGGTAGAGAGAAAAATAGATACTGTCTTGATCAGAGCCAAGATTCTGGTTTCAAACTACTTTAGGGCTAGAGGAAAAACAGACAACAAAGCCGGATTCCTCCCACACCGGCTGTCGGGCGTTAATTGGCCTGCAAGTCAGCTTTGCTTTTCCTGTGTCTTTTCTAGTTACCTCTTGTAAATGACAATTCTTAAATCTTGATTAAATTAATGTGATAATAATTTATAATTTTATATAGTATTGCTCTCTTTTGCTAAATGCCTCTACTCATCATATTCCTTGCCCCTTACCCTAGTTGCAGAATACCTTCTTCACAGTGAACCATGATTTTTTTGTTGCCTTTAAAGAAAATTAAGTAGGCCTTTTTGGCTTAAGGGTGTAAGTGAAATATGTGTAAATAGAGGCTACATGAGGGAATTACAGACGAGGAGTCTGTGCAGCCCTGGATCCAAGGCTGGGGTGTTCATGACGCCTTCTGGTCTCCATCTTTTGGCAGGGCTTCCCTTAACTGGGAGGGTTTTCCAGGTTGTTTGTTCCAGAATGGCTTTTTCGTCTCTTAAAGAAAGCTATAATTCAGAGTAAGGACACCCCCTCCCCTCACAATAATTTTTCTCTTTAAAAACCTCTTGCTACTAGACTTCTCCACTCAGTAATGATGTCCTCTGGGCTTTTCCTCACACCAAGCCACCAGTCCTGTACTGTAAGGTACTTGGTGCCTACTACATGCCAGACAGTGCACAGAATGCCTTACAAATATGCTCTTGATGATAAATCTGTGTGATGGACATAGTTATATCCACTTTCTAGATTTGAAAACCTCAGATTCTAAGTAATTTATAGAGGATTATGCAGCTGGGAAGGGGGAGATGGTTTTCCTACCCTGCCTGGCTGGACTCCATTGCTTATGTTAAATTCTGATCTTTGTCTCCATGCTCATTTCTTTTTTTTTTCCCCCTTCTTTAATTGAAGTACAGTCAGTTTACAATGTTATGTCAATTTCTGGTGTACAGTGTAAAGTTTCAGTCATACATATACCTACATATATTCCTTTTCATATTCTTTTTCATTATAGGTTACTACAAGCCATTGAATTTACCTGTGCTATACAGAAGAAACTCATTTCCATGCTCATTTCTTATTATTTCATTTTACTTCAAAAACAAACAAAGAAACAAACTCACTGAAAAAGAAATCAGATTTGAGGTTATCAGGCAGAGGGGGTGGGAATTGGATGTAGGCAGGCAAAAAGTACAAACATCCAGTTATAAGATAAATAAATAGACATATAATGTGCAACAGGGTAAAGAAAATGAACACTGCTGTATGTTATTTATGAAAGCTGTTAATAGTGTAAATCCTAAGATTTCTCATCACAAGGAAAAATTTTTTTTCTATTTCTTTAATTGTGTATCACGACGAGATGATGGATGAATGTTAAGTAAACTTCTTGTGGTCATTGTTTCATGATGTATGTAAGTCATGTCATTATGCTGTCCACCTTAAATTTACACAGTGCTATATGTCAAGTATATGAAAAAAATCCTGATCTTATCACCAAGCTCATTTCTTATTATCATACATGTCCTTTGATTGTAAGAATGATTCTAATAACCTATAGTTGCTAGGTTGATAGAGCAACACCCTGTGGTTTGCTTCTGCTTGTGACTAGCAATACATATTTGAGAAATAGCTTGTTCATCTTAGTGACTGATACAAACAGGAAACAAAGTGGATCCAATTAGGTTTTATGAAACCAGACACTTGAAACGTTGGCTTGAAGGACACCAAAATTGAAATGGTTAAACTAACTAAGAAATCAGACTTAGTATTGAGCCATTCAGTGATTTACTTACATATCTTGAATTAGTGACTTGAAAGATGAGTTAGTTACTCTCATTTCACCCCTCTTTGGAATTCTAAATAGCTCAAGAGATTTATACAGCTTCCAAACGAACTTCACTAAAACCAGAGAAGAGTTGGTGTTTGGGGAGAATTTAACGTCTTCTGCCTTATTGTGTTTCAGGTTTGTAAAATTATTGGGTTGGTACAGAATGTTTTGACTACCATATATAGAGCAAAAATGATTCTAAGCCTTTTCATATTTAGATTGCTAGAATGATTTTCTGTGTCAAATTTGACTGCAAATTCATGGATCTATGCCCTTGATATAGTACACAGCATTTAGTTAGGTCTTTGTAAGCAATTGCTCTATGAATAAAGATTAAGTTGTTAGTTTAATATTAGATTTAAAAGTTTTTGTGCTTACTTTTGTTCTTTATAAGGCAATTTCTTTTCCTATGCCCATTCCTCTCCCTTTATCTTGCCTTGGCTTAGGAATGCTTGTCCATGAACTAAAAAAGTGCGTCTACACAATGTCTCAGTGCTGCAGGTTAGAAACTTGTGCACACATTAATTGAAGATACCTTTGGGGGTACCCTTCTCTTGCCTGTCGTTCAGAATCTCATTGAAGTTTATTCTCAGTTCCCAATCGAATGTCTTCTGAATTGCTTGATCAGGTTACCAGGGTGTCCAGGGCCACTTCTTTGAATTTCTTCTCCTTAACCTTTTTATATATTCCTAATATATAAGGGTAATAAATGGTGCCAAGGCAACAAAAACTTAAAGGTTAAACCTGCCACATCTCTGTGACATATTAAGGCGATTCTCTGAGGCTAATGTTTATTAATGACTACTTTGAACCTGCATTCTATGAAGAATGTCTGGGTATTGCAAGATTACTTTTATAAGTACATTTATTTTCTGTTTGTACCATCCATCTTAGGCTACCTGGATTGGCTATTTGGTTGCATCCGTTTGATACTTAGAGGCTGTTTTGTGTCTTTGTCTTTGTTGTAGAGGTCACAGTGATGATTCCAGTAGAGCTAGTGAGATCAGTCTGAGCATTTCATGTCTCTCTGAGTTTTAAATTTGGAGAGAGAGAGGAGCAAGGATTTGTGGGATTTATAACTTCAAAGTTTCATTCATCTCTTCAGATATTAGAGAACGAGTGATAATTCAAACTTAGTTTATAAGTTTCTTGGGTTATGGCTCTCAAAAATTGCATATGCAAAGGTATGAAATTTAAATAGCTAGCCTAAAAAGTCTTAAACTTGATAATAATTAATCAAAGCAGTATTCTCCAAACTTCACCCATGCAAGTTCTTCTTTTTGATTTTGCTCATATGTGCTTATTATCTGCAGATTATGTTTTTATTTTCACTGAATTGACTCAGTAAACTTAAATACCTAACTGAGCATCAAAATTTTGTGACGCCAATTTTTTATATTTCTAATGAATGTTGAAATACATAACTATTGAACTAAGAAATGTTTCTGAATCTACTGAAATGATGCCTCATACTCCCTGATCTAGACATCACACCCTGAGACTCTGGATTAGTGACTACTTTGGAATGTCTACTGAGGATTTTCTTTATGGGAAAATAATCGAGGCTTGCCCCTTAGGTTGTTATTTTTTGGACAGTCTTGGCTTTAGGATATGAAGTAAAGGATGTAGAAGAATCCCCATACCTCTATTATACCTTCTAGTAACTGCCATCCAGAAGTGAGCATTGTCAGAAAAGCCAAACGTAATAGGCTCATAGGGCAGGAGAAACGTGCTAATCAAGCAATACCACCTCTGCCTCTTCCTCCTGAGGAATGCAGATGTGTTATTTTCTAAATCAGGGGACGGTTTCTTAGTGTAGCCGCACAGGGAACTGTGAGAGTTGTGACATTAACAGGCCTCTGATGCCATAGCTGCGCGTTGGCGTTTTATCTTTGCCATGCTGACATCCGCATCGCAGTTTTGTTGTGATGCTTTTGACAGCTGTCCAGAGAGAATAACCAAACAGAACAGCAGGTAATGCAGGCTGTTTGTGCAAAATGCTTAGGTGTGATGTTTGTGCCAGCAAAGGGACAGGGAAGAATGAAACCAAGTGCCAACTTGTCCTCACGGAGGGACAAAGGAAATCCATCCCATAGCTTTCCTTCAGGAAGTGTGGGGAATGTATTGCTTATTGAACAGCGATGCCTCCTGTGTTTCTATTTATGAAACAGAGTGGCATGAGAGGAGCGGTAGGGGCCATTGGGAAGTGCAGCTCCATGACATAATTCACAATTCTGTGCCCTCTTTCAGGCCCTTGAGCAAAATGGGAAATGGTTCAGTGAAACCCAAACATTCCAAGAACCCAGATGGCCAGTCTGGGAACCTCACTGCCAGTGCCCTCCGGAGCAAGGTGACAGAGCTGGAGAGAGAGCTGAGGAGGAAGGATGCTGAGATCCAGGAACGGGAGTACCATCTGAAGGAGCTGCGGGAGCAGCTGTCCAAGCAGACTGTGGCCATCGCAGAGCTCACGGAGGAGCTCCAGAGCAAGTGCATCCAGCTGAACAAGCTTCAGGATGTGGTGCACATGCAGGGAGGAAGCCCGTGTCAGGCCTCTCCAGATAAAGTGCCCCTGGAGGTCCACCGCAAGGCCTCGGGATTGGTCTCCCTCCACAGCCGAAGGGGAGCGAAGGCTGGAGTGTCCGCTGAGCCAACCACCCGAACCTATGACCTCAACAAACCGCCTGAATTTTCCTTTGAGAAAGCAAGAGTCAGAAAGGACTCCAGGTAAGAAGGTCCCGCACCCTTTTGACTTAGATGGCCTTAATCTAATGAGACGTTAGAGTGCTATTAATTGAGCCCCCTCAGTGGAAAAGAGCATATTAACCCTTTCGGATTTCAGAGTAGTGGGCTTTTGGAATGGTTTTGTTTTGCAGCAGGGTCTCCCTTTAAGCAGAACTTCTTTTTAAAGCAGGGTTTGTGCTTCTCCTGGACTTTGATGTGTGATTTGCATAACTGAGGAACTGAGTTTATGAAAGTCATTTCCATGATTTTGAAAACTGTAGGGGAGGGAAGAGGTAGTTTCAGAAAGTCCGCTCTTCTCTCATCCTGTAGAAGTGGTCTTAACGGTGTACACAAATCACGATCAATTATGAACATAGCAGAACCCACTTCTTAGCACTGCAAGTGTCGTGAAAAAGGGACAAGACTGAACCTCCAAGGGGGATGAATTCATTCATTCATCCCACGGTTTTAGTTGAGCACTGCCCTCTGCCAGCCACTGTCTCAGATGCTAAGTATAAATCAGTGAATGAATAGACACAGAGCCTTTCTTGTGAGGAGATAGTATACACGGAAACAAGTAAACATTGTGTAATTATCAATTAAGATAAAAGATATGATGAACCCAACAGTATAATGAGTGGTGTCTGGGATTAGGGGGAGAGAAGGGGATGGAGACAACGGAACTGGGTTTGTCACGGAAGCCTGGCTGAGGAGGTGAACTTTAACTGAGACCCAAAGGAGCAAGGGGAGCATAGACTAGGTGGAAAGAGTATTTCGGGAAGAGGTAACAATTAAAAGCCAGAAATAATTAAAAAAATAAGGAGTTTTAAAAAGACATGTAAATATTTACCACAACATTCTTGTGCGGGCATGTGTTTATGTGTGTGTGTGTGTGTTTGTATATGTGTATGTTTCTTTTCTGGCCAAAATTTTCATTTCCTAATCAGGAAAGATTAACTGGAAACATCATGAGTTAGGGTTTTTTTCTGTTCTCTTTTTAAATGACTGAGTATTTCTTAGTTGCAATTAGATCTTTTGCCTTGATAATGTCTTGGCTGAGCCTGAATCTCTCTTGCAAACTGCAAGATTAGTAAAATTAAAGCAACTTTTAATTTATTCACTGACACAAGTAACATAAATCAAGATAAAATATCTGACTTAAATAAATGATTAATTTTGACAACAGGATTGTAGAGGGAGGGTTAATTCATCAATTTGTTGACAGTGCTTGGCATGTAGCAAATGATCAGTAAATATTTGTTAAGGAAACAAATCATGCTGGATTATTAATCATAATACTCTGTGGCTGAAAGAATCTGACTAATATTAGAGCTCAGAAGACTTTTCTAAGCCGAGAGTTTTGTTACTAGTTGATTTAGAAAGATCTTATCTATTCTCATTGTGTAAATAATAATTATTTGTTTTCAGTGGTATGAATTTAGAAATTATAAATGTTGCTTACAAACTTATGCTTGTTTTTCAAAAATTAAACATCATAGTGTTCTTTTTTGATGTGTAAGAGATATACACACGTATGGTAATACTATATATTACACATTATATTACTATATGTGCATATATAAGCATAATGTATTATTTACCCTCAAAAAGTCTCAAGTAGTAATGTGTTTGCATATCTAGGAGACGTGTGAGAGAATGTAATAGCAATTCATCTTCTTTAACTCTCTTCCTACATTTTCTACCAGACTTCTCCTCTTGAATGAAGATTATTTTTAATTATTTTATTCCAAAGATTTTTGTCCATCTTTAGGCAAAACATCATTCTCCCAGCGTGAAGTAACAGAACAATCCAAGATAAGTACATTACTCTGTATTTTTAAAATTAGCTCTGTTATAACCCGGCAGAGAAAATCAGTAGCTGGGCACAGTTAGTTTTTGGGTCAAACCACCTGTCTGTCATGAGTGGGACACGGGAGGGGAAAGACATTATAGGCCCTGAATAAGGATTAGCAATGATTCCACTCATCCATCATAAAGTCAAGCCAAATGGGTACTGGTTTGTGCTGAGGACAAGATGAAGAAATGGGATAATGAGTCCTTAATGATTAAGTCCTAAAGAGGCCAAATTGGATCACTTATGTCCTCATATTCCTCTTAATGCTTTCATAAGCCTTTGGTTCTGAATTGAAAAATTAAGTAAAAATATGGGAACCACTCTTTTTTTTTCACATTCCAACATTTCTGTTATTGGGATGTTCTTTATAATTGAAGGCATGTCATAGCTTAATTGGAAGTGTTTTTTTTGTAAATTGAAGTATAGTTGATTTACAATGTTGTGTTAGTTTCTGGTGTACAGCAAAGTGATTAAACTACATATATATATATATATATACATGTATATATATATATATATATATATATATATATATATATATACACACACACACACACACAATATGTCTCAGTTTTCCTTGAAGTTTCCCTTATAAAATGTCTTTCCCCTTAAGTCTGGAATAACTGGCTAAATGTAGATAACTAACATCATCAGTTCAGAGATTTAAAATTTTCTGGTTCTTTGAACATGCTCAATATTACAATTCATTTACCATTTTCACATAGTTCCAGTTTTAGAGAAAAGGTGTAAGTAAAGTTAGAATGTTTTAATTCATCTTTTATACAGTCTCCATGAATTTTGTAAGAAACAAGTTTCTAGAAGTTAGAACTTTAGAAAAGATGAGGGCACCATTCACTGATAAAAGGATGCTGGACAGTATCCATTGATTTGGCTACTTTTCCAAGCAGTTCCTGTTAAATATTAGAGAATTTAAGTATCAGTCAAAATGGCACCTTCATTTATTTCTAGGTTCTCATGATTTACTTGTTGAACTTTGTAAAATTTCCTGGCTGAATTTATGACTATATTTATTTCTACTAACACATGTCAACTGCATTTTGGATAAGGCCTCCCCTCCACACTGCATCAGAAAGCCATTGAATGGCTTTTTAGACTTTTTGTCAAAAGGATATCTCAGGTGAGGACTTAACAGTGAGCAGGGAAGTGAGGAGAGACTCCCAGCTCCCCTGCAGTCAACAACCTTAGGAAGATATGAAGTACTGACTGAAAGCTGAGAATAACATTTGAGGGGATGATAGATTTGGAATTTGAGGATTCAGATCCAGTGATTCACGAGAGACTCTAAGACCTATGCCACAGCTGTCTGTGAGTTCGCTAAGGTTTCTGTGCTCATATGTCTTGTAAATGGCAAGTGAACCTCTCAGACTGCCAGGCAGCCCGCTCATGCCGTCTTGGCTGTCTTGTACCCTGCAAGTGTACCTGCAGGGTCTGAGAGGGTAGCTTAAATGGTATAGTTGCACCTCCCTGTTTTATATAGAGAAACTTATGCTCTAATGGCATCAGAGAACTCTTGAAATTTGCCTCTTGCAAAATGCAAGGATCTACTTTCTAAGATCAGGCTTTAGAATAACTTAGTGCTGTCCAAGGGAACTTTCAGCAGTGATGGAAATGTTCTATAATCTGTGTGGTCCAGTATTGTAGTTAATAGCAAAATGTGGCTGTTGAACTCTGGAAAGGTGGCTTGTGCCACTGAGGAATTGAATTTTTAATTTCAATTTGTTTTACAATTATATAGCCACATGTGTCCAATGACCACTCTATTGGATATTGCAGTTCTAGATTATGTGTTTCTAACTGTAACCACTATCTCCTGAGATGGGAATTATGACCTAGTGAAATTTGGCAAGCTTTGTAGGCAAAATAAGACCTGTGTTTGGTATTAGAACAAAGTCTCAGAAAATGAGAATGAGCCTGTCTGACTGGCATGAGCACAGTGTGGGGTCAGTCTTCAGCAGCCCTGAACCTGCAGTCTGTCGTAGCCTTTTGTAGGGATTTGGTTTTGTGCCCACTGACCATTTCAGGTCTTCAGAAACCTACGACTGTGTGGGCACGTAGCGTGTTTTATTACAGGTCCTCAGCCTGTAATAAAGTATAGTAAATCAGGATGAGTCAGAGCATTACAGTATAGCAGGTACTCTGATCTCTGATTTCAACTTATTGTGGTGACTATCAGAAGATTTTAGAGCTGGAGGAACTTTAGAGATTGTTTCATGCCTCCCGCCCCTGCCACGCCCCACCACCAACCATGCCCCTTACTGGAGAAGTGAAGAAACAGGTGCCGGGGAGTTGCGGAATATGCCATGGTAAGTGGCAAGAGCTAAGATTAAAATCCAAGATTCTTGACTTTGAAACCAGTGTTTTCCCTCTACAGTCCTAGTGTTTCCTGAAAACTGGATTTGCCTCTTGGGGGTGTCAAGCCAAAAGACACAACCAAGCCAAAGAGTGGGAGAAGGATGAATTTATTACTTGCAGCAAGTAAGGAGAACACTGGGGATATTTCCCAAAGCAGTATCTCCTCAAACAGCAAAACTGGAGAAGTTTTCAGCTAAGCGTGCATGCGTATTTATGAAGGGGCTTGAGCAGAGGAGAATTCAACATAGAATTGGGGCAAAGATCGACAGAGTCCCAGCTCTCGATTGAAATCTTGAGGGTCAGCAAAGGTCAGCAGCATCATTTCTTAGGTTCCAGTTAGTCTGGTTGTTGGATGCTTGAGGGAGATTTGGATTCTGCAGAATAGCTCAAGGATGTGCTTCGGACTAGAACTTGGAGTCTTTACAACTGATTTATTGTCTCTGATCTGGTGATTCCCCTGGCCTGGTCAAGGACGAGCACTGTGGTCAGGCTTAGATCGGAAAATGGTTTAGCTTTAAAATGGCTTCTCTTATGTCAAGCAAGTTATGTCTGATTCTCCTCCTCCAGCCACCCCTACCCTATCTGCCTACACTAGAGTTCGTAAAACAACCGCAAAGATCAAAGGCCTCAAGTCAGATTGGTTTGACCACCAGTCTGCTTTATTTTGACATGCTCTGTTGATTGGGAGGAAGAACAGTGTGCTTCCTGGCTTCTTCCAAGCAGAGTTGAGCAGAGCTTACCCACTGCATCAATGTTCACCAAGTGCTGGATCCTC